TTTATTATATTATATTATATTTTTATTATCTTTTATTTTTATATTTTATTTTTATACTTTTATTCTATTTTCTTTTATTCTTATTCTTTTATTCTATTTTCTTTTATTCTTATTCTTTTATTCTATTTTCTTTTATTATCATAATTATTATTAATTATTATATTTTATTCTATTTTAATGAATTTTTATTATTTTATTTTTTATTATTATTAGTAGTAGTATTCAGAGATATTCTGGGACTCTATAGTGATGTCAAAGCGCAGCAGAATGAATTTTTTACTTTCTGCCTCTGCTTTCCCATTTCAAGCCTGTCTGTCCTGTGCCTTTAGAGGGGAGTCAAACAGCAACAGCTTTTATTCCCCAGAACTTTTCCCTAAATCACACAATGACGTGGAAGTCTGGGCAGTTCTCTTCTTTCTGCAAAGTGAAATGCAGGAATTTGCTGAAATATTATCATGAAACAGAGCCAACGTGTTCCCATTTTCCAAGCTTTGGAAAATATGAGAGAATTTGATTCATGTGTTTGCTTTAAGGGAGATCTGCCAAGTCAAAACCCTTTCATTTCATCCTGTGTGAAGCTGGAACACGAGGAGAGAACAAAATCTTAATTTATTTAACAATGTACAAATAATTTATACAGAGAGGGGGCACTGGGGGTACATAACCATAAAAATCATTTCTTGATACAAGTTGTAATTAATGGCAAGACAAAATGTCTTTACTTTGTCAGGGAAGGAGAGGAAGGAGAGGAAGGAAGGAAGGAAGGAAGGAAGGAAGGAAGGAAGGAAGGAAAAGAAAGAAAAGAAAGAAATCCCTGGGGTGTGGTAGGAATGACCACACAATTACAGCATCTCTGGAATATGCATTTTTAATCTACTGGATTGTAAAAATAAATCCTACATGATCTCACAGGTTCAGTTTTTCTATCAATACATGAAATACTTCTACATGAGCTCAGACAAAGCTTTTGCTGAACTGAGTTCTTGGATTTGTTGTTGGCATTTGCTGGAAATGTTGTTTAAATTTAGGTGATTTCTTGTAATTTGGAAAAAGTCTGGCAAAGAAAATTCAGGATGTTGGGAAGTGGAGTTTGACAGAGGAGCTGGCAGAGATGGTTTGTGTTTGTGTCCAGTTGCAGAGGAGGTGGTACCACAGAGCCCCTCCAGGCTTGGTGTGAAGCAATAAAAGAAATGCTGCAGACTGATGGTTAATGTTTCCCTGCCTGGTTTGCACAGGGATGCCCAAAAAGCTGCAGAGGCAGAAATTCTGCCCAGTTTCAGAAAGGAGCTGCACTGGGAGGAGGATCAGCCTCTGGATTCACTGGAGCCTCACGCCAGGAGCAGCTGAGATGGAATCAGAGAATGGGCTGGGAGGGATCTTAAAGAGATTTTGGCTGTGGACACCCTTCAAAGCTCTTCCTGGGTTTTCTGTGAGCTTTGAGCAATCAGATCCTCAGAGGCACCCGAGCATGGTGGAAATTAATCCTTGGTGCTCTTATTACCCCAAGCCAGAGGTGTTGTCACAGGGGGATCCAAAAGCAATGGGCAAGCTCCAAGATAAACATTCAGGCTGGAAATATTGACAGAGTGAAACAGAAAACAGAGAGGAAACCAAACCTGAAAAGAAAAAAAATCTTAAAGCCCTACAGTGCTGGGTCATGTGTTGGTCATTAAAACCCAGTGCTTTGTCTTGTGCAGCCTTCACCCAACGCTCACAGGGGCTCTGTGGGGCACAGGCAGTGTGAGGATCAGTTATGGCCCAGCTCCCAGCCCCAAATCCTGGGCTGGAATTGTTCCTGCAGGCTGCCATCCCTGTTTTCCACCTGCTGTCCTGCTGCTCCAGCCAGAGTTTGCACAAGTGATTGGAGTCCATCCACAATCAGAAACCAGGCTTGGACCGACTTCCAGTTCCTTTGGACTTAACCATTAGGATTTAAGCTGGCCTGTAAATGTTAACACATTAATTGCTGGATCAGGCCTAATTTCCATCCTGCTGGGGCCAAAGGGACCTTTCCTTGTGCAGGATCAGGATGGAGAAGCTGAACCACGTCTGAGCAGGGATGCAGGGATTCCTGCCACAGAGCAGGTGAGGGATGCCAAACACTGACTGTGGGAAAGGAATGTGGATTCAGCCTTGATCCCAAGAAACTGAGAGCTGTGTTTGAAGCCAAAAACTGACAATAGCTATATTTAAAACCAAAACAGATAGGTGTATTTAAAACCAAAAACTGATAGGTGTTTTTTAAAGCCAAACCTGAAAATGGGTGGATTTAAAGCCAGAGCTCTGCCAGGGGGCAGCAGGAGGTGGGGAATGTGTTTAAGCTGTTGATGCTTGTGTGGGTTTTGTGTGGGGCTCTGGATTTGGTTTGGATGGAGTGCTGGGATGCAGAGGGTGATCACCTCTGCAGCATCTGTTCCATGGGAGAGGCTTTGGGAGAGCTGTGGCTGCTCCCCAGAACTGCTCTGCTGTGGGGAGCAGAGGCTCAGGGAGCTGCTGGTCAATAGAGGAACCTCTCAGCCCCTTTTTTTGTCCCCAGGACCCCCAGAGCAGAGTCCAGGGGACCAGGGATTCTCAGGGTCCCTCTGTCCTACCCTGATGCTCCTGGTGCTTTCATTTCTTTTAACCTTCTGCCCCGTTATGGAGCTGATTTCCAAAACAATCCTAAGTAGTTCCTGCTCTTCCTGAGCTGCAGTTTTCCCTGTGTGAATTCCAGCCCCAGGGCAGAGCTGGTGGCATCCTGGCCCTTCCTCTTTCCTCTTTAATATTCCCCTCCTGAGATAATCTGCAAAATCCCCACTCCTCAGAGCATTTCCAGCCAGGAAATTTCCTGCTCACTGCCAATCCTTGCTGCATCCTTCCCTTGGATGGACGAGCCTTGGTGTGGTCCCTGAGTGAAATCCCAGGATTAATTTAACCTGGAGGAAAGGAGGCTCAGGAGGGGCCTTCAGGCTCTGCACAACTCCCTGGTGGGAGGGGAGGATTTGGGATCTGCTCCCAGGAACAGGGACGGGGGACAGGGAATGGCCTCAGGCTGTGTGCTCAGGTTGGATATTTTGGAAATTTGCTTTACAGAAAGGGGGGACAGTGCTCAGTCCCCATTCCTGGAGGGATTTAAAATCCCTGTGGATGTGGCACTTGTGGATGTGGTCAGTGGTGGCCTTGGCAGTGCTGGGAATGGTTGGACTCGATTTTAGCAGCTTTTTCCAGCCTTAAGGATTTAATGATGCTGTAATTCCATTAAAAATGGCTAATTAATTATATCCTATCTGAGCATTTAATGATGAGATGAACTCAACTCCAGAGCCTGCAGTCGCTGTTGGGGTTTTTCAGCTCAAGTTTCAGCTTTTCTCTTCAAGACCCAAGAGAACAGAAATATTTTCAGCAGAGCTGCCTCCCTGCAGGAGCGCAGGGATGTGGTTGTGTGTCCCTGCTGGCACCTCAGGTGTCTGTGTCACCTGAATCCCTGCTGGCACCTCAGGTGTCTGTGTCACCTGAATCCCTGGGGCACCTCAGGTGTCTGTGTCACCTGAATCCCTGGGGCACCTCGGCCTTCCCTGGGGCTGGGAATGAGCAGTTCCATTGGAAGTTAAAGTTTTTCTGTGGGATTTTCAGTGCTTGGGAATATCTTGGGGCCATCACCTCGTGAACCCTGGGCCCTTTCCCCACCGATTTCCCGGTGCTGAGCTGGCTGTGGAGGAGTTTTCCATCTCTCCCATCCCTCTTTCCCCTTTCACACTCCTAAATTACAGCTCTTGGGGAGCTGTATTACAATAATTACAATTATTATAATTACAATCCCTGGGGATTGGCTTCTCCTCGATGTCTGGGATGTCCTGGAAGGAGATCCCAGCACTTCTTCCCTCTAATCCCATTAGAGCTGCCCAAAGAAGGGCCCACTTCAAAGATCCCCCATGGAATTTGCATTTCCAAGCTCTCACAGCCAAGCTCTTCAGGAGGGGATGAAAGTGGCTTTTGTTAAACTTAAAGGAAGAGTTGATTAAAAAAAAAAAAGCTCCTGATTTTTCCCTTATTGAGGCGTGGTGTGGTTGCACTGTTGGGCTTTGGGCATCTGGGGGAGGGAGAATTCCTCACACAAAGGAAATAACCTGTTCCCTGTCATCATCCCAAATCATTTATCCGAGTTTGAGAGGAGCTTGGCTGGGCCAGGCAGGAATAACAAATAAAATATCAGCAAATTTTCATGATTTCAAACTTTCTCCTTTTTCTGGCACCTCGAGAAGAGCCGAGGCGTTTGTCAAAAAAATTCATCCCAAAAATCTCAGTGCAAAATATTTCCCAGTGGATCCTCAAAGGAGGGAATTGAAAGGGCTGATTTGTGCCCTTGTTGGGATTTCAGGGATCACTAAAACCCCACTAAAACTCCCTGTTCAGTGCTGATTATTCAAAATATCCAGTGTCTGCCTTTCTTTGCTTTGTTTGAAGAGCACTGGCAAATAAAACTGAATTTCTGGATTAAATGTCTCCTATATTGCCTAAAAGAAAGCACCTAATGAAAGAAATGTGTCTGTTGAGCTCCTGTCTCAGTTTTGGTTCTGTTTTAGCACTGAATGTCACTGCTCATAGAGGACTGGGCAAACATTTCCTATTTCCAGGATCCTATTTGGATTTTCTATATCCACTTTAAATTCTGTTTGCATGACTCTTCCTGCTGGCTTTATCAATATTAAGCACAAGCTTGGTTCAAAAATAGAAAACTATGTGTTGGTTGCTTTAAATAAACATCAACCCTATTTTTCCAGGCAGTTTATATTTCTCTTCTAATCAAGGCTGGGTGTATTTCTGAGCAGAGCCTTAAAAGCACTCATTTCATACAACATTAATGTGTATTTTGGCTAAGCTGAAATGCCATTTTTTACCAGGCAGATGAAGGGGGGTGGAGGTTTATTTAAACAAACAAAGCTTTTATTGAACAGAAGGAAATAACCCTGATTGTTTGCAGTGTTTTGCAGTCACAGTTTTGTGTTTCTGGCTGCTTTCAGGGATGAGTATGAGGAGGATGGGTTTTGCCAGCCTTACAGGGGCATCGCCTGCGCCCGCTTCATCGGGAACAGAACCATCTACATGGAGTCCTTGCACATGCAGGGGGAAATAGAAAATCAAATTACAGGTGGGTAAAAACACCTTGGCTGCTCCCAAAAAGCTGCTGGAGTTTTATAAACAGCAATGTTATTTTGTTTTGGTTTTTATTCCCTCTTGCCATGAGCTCGTCTGTGTGTCTCTGCTCCTCCAGCTCCTCCCAAAACACCTAAAAATATGATTTTTTCAAGGAGAAGGGGCTGTGTGTTTACAGCTTCTGGGAGACTCCGTGCTGCTGTTACCCCAGCAGGTTTTGAAAGCAAAGTGGGACCAGCTTTAGTTGATTTAATGTGGCTGGAATAATTTAGGTGCTGGGAAAAGCTGCATAAATAATCCAGCAAATAGTATTATTCCTTTGGATTTAGGGGAGAACCAGCTGCCATTAATTTTGTGGGATGTCCTGATGGGGTTGCTGAATTCACAGATATCATAGATATCATGATATTCTCTATTTTTCATATAAATTAACTTGATCTGATCCTAACCCTGGTAATCATGTCTATATTCAGATTTTTTCTCTTCTTGCTGTCAGAATATCCCAAATTTCTCTTTTCCCTTTGGCTCCAAACACTGCCAGCATTTCAGAAAAAGGCTTCATTTCCCCAAGAAAGGAAATGTGGAGCCACCAGCTCATAATCTTCCAGCATTTAGTTTGAAAAGTTACTTGGGATTGTATGAAAGGTGCAGGAATTTGGGGTTCACCTGTTGGTTTTGCAAATATTACATGAATTTGTAAATTATTCTAAGTTATTTGGGAAGAAAAAAAATAAAGGGGGAATAATTAAGGGAATAATTACATTTGGGGGTTGGATAACGAGCTTAGCATTAATCCCATGTTGAAAACCTGATGTGTTTTCCTTGTCAGTGAAATCAGCATCGTTAATAACTTCCAGTGTAATTAGTGCTGTAATTCCTGCACAGCTGCAGTGGGAAGGGAGGGTTTTACTGGGAAGGCAACAGCACAGAAAAACCATTGGGATACAGAGAATTCCTCTTATCTCAGTTCTGTTTCAGGAAGGATTCTCCAAAGGCTCCTTAGATTCTTTTTTCTTGTATTTATTAATATATTATCAAAAGTCTTGGCAGGTCTTCCCCAGACTTTTCTTTGTCCCATCATCACCTGGCTCAAATTGGCTCAAAAGGCACAAAACAGCCCCAAATTTCACAGTTCTTTTATCTTTATACTTATTTTTGTAGGAGTCTAAAAATGGAGTGACATTTCTCTGTTTGTCTTATTCTCCCAAAAGGTATTAATCAATTAATTTTTGTCTAATTAATCAATTTTTGTCTAATCCATTAATATTTGTCACTGAAGAAGGTCTTCTAAATATCCCTGGGTAAACCAGGATATATAAAAATTAAGTAGAAAGTAGTAGAATGTTTATTATGTCACTGAAGTGAAAAATAGAGATTTTAGAGTTTTTAATACATGGAGGAAGAAAGGTGTGGTTTTTAGCTCTCCTTCCTTCTCCATGATTCTGCAGTTTTTAGGAGCACAAAGAGTGATTGGTTTAGAGTTAATCACAGTTTTAATTACGTGAGTAGATATAGAAAACTTATTTGTTGATATATAAAAACAATGCACCTGTCTATTGTTAATTGGATAAAAATAGATATAAAGATGAAACAGCCACGTGTTTTGGGGCCATTTTGTGCCATCTGAGCCCAAGGGGCAGGATGAATTGAAGTTGTGCAGAAAGTCTGGAGAGACCTGCCAGGATTTGTGCAAACATCCCAATAAACACAAGAAACAAAATCCCAACGAGCTCTGGAGTTTTCTCCTGACCCAGAGAACTGAGATAAACAGAACCACCCGTGAGGGAGGATCCCAAAGGAGCTCAGAGGGGACCAGGAAATCCAGGTGTGACAAGTGCAGCACAACCAAAAAGAGAAAAAGTTTCAATTTTCACCTAATTAACAATAGACAGGTAAATTATTTTTCTTAATGACCCCATGACCCAACACCTGAGTGCTGCAGTGCATCATTCTCTATCCAATCACCCTCTACTACCCAAAAACCTCTAGAAGAAGAAGATGAAGATGAAGAAGGACAAGAGACAACAGCTTAAATTCTCCATCTTGTCTTCTGTTTTCTAAGCAAAACTCTAACTTTTTCACCCAGTGACTTAAGAAAACTCCTTAATTTACACACTTTTAGCTTTTCTATCTAACTTTAGCATTTAAACTCAGTGTTTTCTTGGGTGTCAGAGCCCAAGGGCACACTCTCTGTGCCTCCAACAATTCCCAAGTGACACCCTGGTGTTTTCCAGCTGCCTTCACCATGATCGGCACCTCCAGCCATTTGTCGGATAAATGCTCCCAGTTTGCCATCCCCTCCCTGTGCCACTACGCCTTCCCCTACTGCGACGAGACCTCCTCCGCTCCCAAACCTCGGGATCTGTGCCGGGACGAGTGTGAGATCCTGGAGAACGTCCTGTGCCAGACCGAGTACATTTTTGCCAGGTCTAACCCCATGATCCTGATGAGGTTGAAGTTGCCCAACTGCGAAGATCTGCCCCAGCCCGACAGCCCCGAGGCTGTCAACTGTATCCGCATCGGGATCCCCATGGCTGATCCCATCAATAAAAGTAAGTGGGAAATATCTGGATTTTCTCCATGGAAAAGGTATTGCTGTGCCAGGATTGGCTGGAAGGGCTCGTGCATCCCACTCGGAGCCAGCGCTTGGGCGTTGGCGGCTCACGGGTGAATTTCACTTTTCCAGCAAGGGTAGGGATTCTGAAGGGATTTTTCAGGAATTCTGAAGGGTTTTTTTAGGAATTCTGAAGGATTTTTTTCAGGTGTTCTGAAGGATTTTTTCAGGAATACTCAAGGGGTTTTTTTCAGGAATTCTCAAGGATTTTTTTCAGGAATTCTGAAGGGTTTTTCCAGGAATTCTGAAGGATTTTTTTAGGAATTGTGGAGGATTTTTTTCAGGAGTTCTGAAGGATTTTTTTCAGGAATTCTGAAGGGTTTTTTTAGGAATTGTGGAGGATTTTTTTCAGGAGTTCTGAGGGATTTTTTTCAGGAATTTTGAAGGATATTTTTTTCAGGAATTCTGAGGGATTTTTTCCAGGAATTCTGAAGGGTTTTTCCAGGAATTCTGAAGGATTTTTTTAGGAATTGTGGAGGATTTTTTTCAGGAGTTCTGAGGGATTTTTTCCAGGAATTCTGAAGGATTTTTTTAGGAATTGTGGAGGATTTTTTTCAGGAGTTCTGAAGGATTTTTTCCAGGAATTCTGAAGGATTTTTTTAGGAATTGTGAAGGATTTTTTTCAGGAGTTCTGAGGGATTTTTTTCAGGAATTTTGAAGGATATTTTTTTTAGGAATTCTCAAGGATTTTTTTTCAGGAATTCTGAAGGGTTTTTCAGGAATTCTGAAGGGTTTTTTTAGGAATTGTGGAGGATTTTTTTCAGAAGTTCTGAGGAATTTTTTCCAGGAATTTTGAAGGATATTTTTTTCAGGAATTCTCAAGGATTTTTTTTCAGGAATTCTGAAGGGTTTTTTTCAGGTGTTCTGAAGGATTATTTTCAGGAATTCTGAAGGATGTTTTCAGGAGTTCTGAAGGATTTTTTTTCAGGAGTTCTGAAGGATATTTTTTCAGGAGTTCTGAAGGATATTTTTTCAGGAATTCTGAAGGATTTTTTTTCAGGAATTCTGAAGGATTTTTTTTCCAGAATTTTGAAGGTTATTTTCAGGAATTCTGAAGGATATTTTCAGGTCTTTGCTAAGTAATTGGAAACTGTGGAGTGTAAGTATTTGGATGCTGAGGAATATGGGTGGCTTCATCCTCCCTGCTCCTCATCCTCCTCCCACCTCAGCCTGACGTGCTCTGGCAGCACCACAAGTGCAGTGGAGGGATCCCTGTTAGGAGGAGCATTTCTAGGGCTGTCCTACCTAAGCCAGCCTAATTTTAGGCTCTGGCTGAGCCCACTCTTTGATCAGGCTGGGCTGCAGCCTGTTCACAGCCCTTCCACATCTGAACAGTCAAATATCAAACACAGCTCCCACAAATTTTCCACCTTCCTATGAAAATAATGGCTGCAATTCAATTTCCCATCATAGTTTTTGCCTTTTTTTGTGTATCTTATATTAAAAACATTTGGCAGAAGCTGTTTTCACTGCAGGAGCATAAGCTTTAAATCCTCCCAGGAACGGGAATGCAAAGCAGGCCCAAACTGGGAGCCTGGGGTTCCAAACTGGGCCGTGCTGGGAGATGCCAGCAGCCCATCCCCACAGGAGCTGTGCTCCAGAGCCTGCAGTCGCTGTTGGGGTTTTTCAGCTCAAGTTTCAGTTTTTCTCTTGAAGAAGCAAGAGAACAGAAATATTTTCAGCAGAGCTGCCTCCCTGCAGGAGCGCAGGGATGTGGTTGTGTGTCCCTGCTGGCACCTCAGGTGTCTGTGTCACCTGAATCCCTGGGGCACCTCAGGTGTCTGTGTCACCTGAATCCCTGGGGCACCTCGGCCTTCCCTGGGGCTGGGAATGAGGAGTTCCATTGGAAGTTAAAGTTTTTCTGCGGGATTTTCTCCCAATGTGCTTGGGAATATCTTGGGGCCATCACCCCGTGAACCCTGGGCCCTTTCCCCACCGATTTCCCGGTGCTGAGCTGGCTGTGGAGGAGTTTTCCATCTCTCCCATCCCTCTTTCCCCCTTCACACTCCTAAATTACGAGCAGCTTTGGCTTTTGCTTGTCCTTGCAGATCACAGGTGCTACAACAGCACGGGCGTGGATTACCGGGGCACGGTGAGCGTGACGCGCTCGGGGCGGCAGTGCCAGCCCTGGAACTCGCAGTACCCCCACACCCACACCTTCACTGCCGCCAGGTACCCCGAGCTCAACGGGGGCCACTCCTACTGCAGGAACCCCGGCAACCAGAAGGACGCTCCGTGGTGCTTCACCTTGGATGAGAACTTCAAGTCGGAGCTCTGCGATGTCCCGGCCTGCGGTAACGCCCGAGCTGCTTTGGGTTGGAGCTGGGGGCAAAAAGGGGAAGGGTTTGGTGCACAAAAAGGGTCTTTGGTGAGGCCCTGGGAGCAGAGGTGAAGGAAAGGCCGGCTGGGCCTGCTCTGAGGAGACCTTGCTGCCGCTGCAGTGACAAAGTGGTGGCATGAAAATCATTTCCTGGGGAATGGCTGTGCACTGCCAGCTCGAGTGGTCCTGACTTTCCAGGTTGTTCCAATCAATACAACTCCCCAAGCCAAATTAAATCATAGAAACAAGGAATTGTTGAGGTTGGAAAAGCCCTCTGAGGTCATCGAGTCCAACCTCGGCACTTCCAAGGCTGCCACTGTCCCATGTCCCCAATGCCACATCCACACACCTTTCAAATCCCTTTTTGAGGCCCTTTTAAGACCCCACCACTGCCCTGAGCAGCTGTGCCAGGGCTGGACAACCCTTTCAGTGGAGAAATTTTCCCAAATATCCAATCTAAACCTCCCCTGGCCCAGCCTGAGGCCGTTCCCTCTCCTCCTGTCCCTGTTCCTGGGAGCAGATCCCAAATCCCCCCGGCTGTCCCCTCCTGCCACTCCCTCAGGGATTCTCCAGCCCCTTCCCTTCCCTGGACACGCTCCAGCCCCTCCATGGCTTTCTCCTTGTGAGGGGCCCAAAAACTGGGAGAGGGTTTGAGATGCACATGATGGAGCCCAGACTATCTGCCTTCCCCCTCATCTACCCTTTCAGTAAGAACATAATTTAGAACCCATTTTGGCATCGATTCCCATCTTTCCATTAATTGAAAAAGACTTTGGAGCAAACTCAGAACATGTCTCACTGCAGGAATGTTCATAACCATAACCAGAAAAAATTTAATTTGGTTCTGGCTGTGGAGCAGGAACATCAAAGGAATCTCTTTTCTGAGGGGAAAGGTAAATGTTACTGTGACAACTTGTAGGCAGCATCAAATTTTGTGTGAAACTTGGAATTTCCAGAACATTTCTGGCATGTCCATGCAAATAGCTGTATTTTTATTTTTTTTTTGGCCTGTTATCAATATTGTTATTTCTACATGCAGATAAAACAATTTGGACCCATTTGTTCAGGTCCTCCATTCTCTTCCCCCAGGGTCTCTGAAAAGCAGAATCAAATGAGAGCTGAATCTCCCTTTTTGGTCATTTTACAAACCCAAAATGCAGCTGGGGAAATTCTGTAAACACAAATTTCAAATCCATTTTAAAGGACCTGGCAATGTCTTCTCTGTTTTTTAAACAAGGCAGTGCTGGTTTAAGAGTTGGACTTGCTGATCTCTGAGAGCTTTTCCATGATTTTCCCCCCCACTTTTCGAGTCCTGTATCTCTTCTGCTGTTATTTCAAATAAAAATATATAATAAAATATATAAAATATATATGAATATAAAATATAATATATATTATATATAAAAATAAATATACTATATAGTAGATTATATAATATATATTTATATATAATAAATTATATATAAATATAATATATATAATATATATAATATATATAATATATATAATATATAAAAATAAAAATATATTTAAGAAAGGGATCCTGAATATTTTCATGCCAGCCCCCTCTAGATGGGCTCTGAGATTATTTTTATGCCAGCCCCCTCTAGATGGGCTCTGAGATTCCAGGCCTGGCTCAGGCTTTTGATCTGGATTACCAGGACTCTTTTGGAGCCAAATTCTCTGATTTTCAAGCTTTGCTTGATAATAACTGAGATAGTCTGGCTGGGCTGGAGAATTTCTGACAAAGGTTTTAATTGCCAAAACCTCTCACTGCTGCCTTAAAGAGTACTCGTTGTTCTGTGGCTTTATTATTCTAAATAGAAACAGAGCTGGATCAGGTGAGCACTAATTGAATTGTTAAGTGCTAATCTGCATATTAAAACCAGAATACAGTGTGGGACTTGCATTCTGCTGGTTTTGCACTGGCTGAAAGAGCCATTTCAGGCCCATTTTAATCAGTATTGTGAATTCTGCCTCAGCAGGACGTGCCTAGATGGGAAATGGATTTAATTAGGGTGGCTCCCAAGAAGCCCATTAACCTAATGAGGCTTCACGGCGGGGGGCTGCTACTTAATAAGAATAATAATTGCCTTTGACTGGAATAGCTCAGGTGATGAACTGGTGCCCAGGTCTCTCTCTGCCTCGTGCTGCTGCTTTCTTTTCCTTTCTCCCAGTGTATCTCACGAGCTGTGAGGGATCTGTTTGATCAAAGTTTGTCACCCTGACTGTGGGAAGATGAAACACGGGCTAATTCGAGCACGAGGCTTAGCAAAGCCAAGCCTAAGCAGGTTGGGGAGGGCAGTGTGTGAATCCCTGCCTCTCTGGGAGCAGGGAGAATGTCCTGGGGATGGTGCTTTAGTCCTCTGGTGTTTCCCAAAGGCTGTAGGAGTATTTGGGCTACCTTTCCTCTCAGTTCAAACGTGGATGGCACAAATTAATCTGAAAGGGATGATCAGAGAGGAGCCTGGGGGAGCAGAGGACAGCGTGAGCCTGAAAGGGGAGAGGGGTTATGCAAAGTGGCATCCAGAACCATTTGAACTTTGCCTCTGTCACAATTTGAGTGGAGCCCAAGCTTCAGATCAAGTTCATGTTTAATGAAGTGCATAAAAGAGATCTGTGTGGGCCGCTGAGCACTTGTACAAATCCAGCCTGGAAAACACAGACAAACAAACTGGAGTGACCCTGCAGGGATAATAAAACATTCCCGTTCTCCCAGACTCCCTCAGGCTGCCTCAGGCATTCCCAATTTCCTTGGAAACAGCCAGGGTGGCCCGGGCTCCAGGGATCCTCCGGGTTCCCCTGCAGTGAGCGCGTTAATCCGGGTGTAATTCCTGCCTAAGCCTTGGGAATGATCCTGGGGAATGGCAGAGCAGGGCTCTGTGTCCCTGTGTCCAGGGCCCTGGGGATGGGGGATCTGTCCCTGTCCCTGGGACACTCGGGATGGGGATCTGTCCCTGGGACACTCGGGATGGGGATCTGTCCCTGTCCCTGGGACACTCGGGATGGGGATCTGTCCCTGTCCCTGGGACACTCGGGATGGGGGATCTGTCCCTGTACCTGTGACACTCGGGATGGGGATCTGTCCCTGTCACCCCATCAGGGGCTCCCTGAGCTCCTCCCAAAGCCTCTCCCCTCTCCCGCTGCTTTTCCCTCTGAGCGTTTCCCAGGAAGCCAGAGCCAGCCAGGGGATGCAGTGCTGGATACCCTGGGCAGTGACAAAGAGAGGATGGTGTTTCCAAAATCCCTGAGAGGGAGCAGGGATTGCAGGGATTGGGCTGTGTTACACCATCCCCCTTCCCATCCCTTCGGCATTCTTCCTCTTCATCCCTGCTCCGGCTTTCCTGGCACCTTACTCTGCTCATAGTGAACTGTTCTTTTTTCACTTCCTCCTGCTTGTATCCATTCCTTCCTGCTGGAGAAGGGTTGGTTGAACCTTTCAAGGGAGGCAGCTCAATCCAGAGTGTTCTCCTTTAACCTGTCCCAAACCAGGACACAGAGAAGGAGTTTGTATTCCCACCGGAGCTTTCCTTGGAATCACAGAGCGGTCTGGCTTGGAAGGGACCTTAAAAATCATTTAATTCCAAGTCCCTGGAACTTCTATAAAGTGTTTTAGAAATTCTCTTTTCTGTGGATCTGTGTTAGGACATCATTTCAGCCCAAGCAAAGGAACCTCACAGCATTCCACTTGGGAATTGATGGGTTTCCTGCCCATCCGTGGGTTTGACCTGACAGGGACTGTTCCTGTGTGTCCCTACAGAATTGTTCCTCCACAAAACAATTTTTCCTTTTAATATTAATTAAATAAAACAACATCCAAGGTGGATTTCTAGCAAGATAAAAAGTATGTTTGATTCTTTTTAACACTTTTAGTTGACCCAGGGATGTGTTTGACTCTGTGGGATGCTTCATTCCCTTGTTTTTTTTTTCCCTTCTGAACCAGATTACAAGGATTCCAAGGAAAAGAATAAAATGGAAATCCTGTACATCCTGGTGCCGAGTGTCACCATTCCCCTGGCCATAGCCTTGCTCTTCTTCTTCATCTGCATCTGTCGGAACAACCAGAAATCCTCGTCCCCTCCGGTGCAGAGGCAGCCGAAACACGTCCGGGGGCAGAATGTGGAGATGTCCATGCTCAACGCCTACAAACCAAAGGTAAACCCAGATTTCTGCTTCCACACTTGCTGTCTCCACAGGCAGGGAGGGAAATGCTGCAAAGAAGCCAGCACTGAAATATTCAGGTGGTTTTCTGCCTGTGATTGGGGTGATTTTTGTGAGCAGCAGCAGCGGTCTGTCCTGTGTGTCCGTGTCCCTGGAGAAATAAAGGAGTTTTTGTGTGATAAAGCAAGAAAGCCCTTCCTGAAGCATCTCTAGAACACCTCATTGAAGTGAGAGGCTAATGCAGGTAAAGATGTGATTCAGCATTTCCTCAGGAGAGTTTTTTATGGCTCTGCTCAGTTCATCTGTCACCTTTCACTCAGCTAAAATCACCTTTGGAAAGATTTCTTCCTTGGCTTTCCTGGCTTACCCATTCCCTCAGTTAAAAGCAGAAATGACCAGAACAGCTCCTGCTCCAAATTCAGGAAGAATTTTAAAAATCATTTTGATTGAAGTGTGAGCAACCTCATGATTTCCTGGTGTCAGCCAGGGCTGGAAATCCCTCCTGCCATCCACAGGCACAGGAATGCCCTGGAAGAGAATTTCCCTCCTGTTTCATGGGATTCCCTTCCAACCCAAGATATTTTATGGTTCTTCAAGAACTTGATGGGTTTTATTCATTTGGAATTTGGTGTTCTTTTGAAGCATTTTAGAGTGAAAACTTGTATCTCAATCCCACACACACTGGCCTGGTGAATTTATCTTCATTTTCCTTGGAAGTTCCCAGTTCCAGCTTTCCTCTACAGCTTGGAGTAGTTTTATCTCAAAATATTGGTAGCAGTAAAATAACATTGAATAAAGTCAGTGTGCATCTTGCATCCAACCTCCTGGAATATTTCCTTAAATTTGGGGTTGCTTCTCGCTGCCTGTTCTGCTGGGAATTTGGAATTCAATCCCAGTTAAACTGAAGATAATGGGAATTCCATCCTCTTTTTATTGAAGATGCAATTTCCACCTTTCCTGCTGGCACACACAGCACAGGAAAGCAGAAATTCCTGGAAATATTTGCAAATATTGACCATTCTCTTTCAATTTGCAAGTCATGCGCTGCAAGAAATATTTTCCTTTAATTTATGCTAATTCAGGATTTTCCCACTGGGAAAGCCAGCTCTCACTGTCTCCAGTATTTTGATTGCCTTTCAAACAATATTTTCAAGGAAAGGAAATGGAATCTTACTTTAAAAATTGATGTGAGCTTTGGGTGAAAACACATTTAAGCTTCAAGCTCCCACTGAGGCAGTTGTTTGCTTGGATAAATAGGAATGTTAGCATTTCCTTCAGTTTTAAGGGATTTTAATTGCCTTCAAAAAATATAATAAATCAAGGACATCTTGTCCTGGAGCTGAAGAAGAGGTGGAAGGGGTGGGTTTCCCTCTGCTGCCTCTTGTGTATTTTACACTTCCCTACATTTTGGACACTCACGTGTGACAAATACTTGTCAAACAAAAGCTGAGCAGATTTACAACTGCTTTACTCCAAATGAGCCCTTCCTGCCAAAACTTTATGACTTCATTTTCTTCCCCCAGTTTTCCACTCTGTTGCTTCAAACAGACAGACCCAGGCTCAGGTCAGACAGAGGTCATTTCACTTTCATTACTAAAATATAATTTACAATATGCCAGACCTAAACAAGTTTTAGCCTAAAGGATTTGGGTAATATAAACCATCTGTTCCTCAACAATATAGCTAATTTCCTGCCCTCACTGTGCAGTCTACTGGGCTGCCTGCTTAAATGGCTTTATTATTATTATTATTATTATTATTATTATTATTATTATTATTATTATTGCAGTATTTGTCTAGAAGTCATAAATGATTGTTACAATTAGAATTAATTTGGGCTAAAATGGCTTTTTTCCTATAATTATTTGAAGTGTCAGGTTTTTCCCACATTGCCACTGGAAAGCTGGCCTCAGATGATTTCAGGAATGCAAATGCCAATGTTTACACTAATTTACAGAACCTAGATCCCAAACTCATTAACCTTAAATTACTACCTGTGGATTTACTGAGGGCCCTAAATGAGTGGGTTTGGGTGTTACAAGCACAAGTGGAAGTTGGGAATGCTACAGGTTCTTTATGCTCCAGGAGTGAATATCTGCACCCCAAAGGGCAATAAATGTTTAAAAGGTTTGCCTTTCTCCTTTGAGAAACTCCCAGTTTCAGGATGGAGCAGAAATAGTGGGAGCAGACTCTGCTGTACCTGCAAGGGTTAACAGCAAAGTCAAGGGAGAATTGGCTACAAGGACATGGTTTTTAAAGCAAAATCACTTTTTTCCTGCTAAAACCCCAGGCCCTGGTCCAGAAAACACTTCAGCATGGACCTCTTAGAGCATGGGAATTGCCTCAATTCCTGAAATTAGTCACATTCAATTGGAAGTAGAAATGCCCAAGGCCAAATGCTGAGATGCTGATGGTTCCTGCATGTATTTGGATCCAATTCTTGCCGTACCTGACCTGGTGGAGAGGATGGGAAGGAATTCTCTTTGTTCCCTTTTGGAGCGCGGTGATCCCGTTTGGACCCTGGTGTCCCTCGGGCTGATCCAATGGGATGGTGGCTCCTGTGTCGGTCCCCTTGGCTCCCACCCGTCCTGCACCAAGAGATTTCACTTTCCAGAGGCTGTTTGCAGTCCTGATGTGTTGCTGGTGTTTCTCCCGCAGAGTAAAGCCAAGGAGCTGCCCCTCTCCGCCGTCCGCTTCATGGAGGAGCTGGGGGAATGCGCTTTTGGCAAGATCTACAAGGGCCACCTCTACCTGCCGGGCATGGACCACGCGCAGCTCGTGGCCATCAAGACCCTCAAGGACTTCAACAACCCGCAGCAGTGGGCGGAATTCCAGCAGGAAGCGTCGCTGATGGCCGAGCTGCACCACCCCAACATCGTGTGCCTGCTGGGCGTGGTGACACAGGAGCAGCCCGTGTGCCTCCTGTTCGAGTACACCAACCAGGGCGACCTGCACGAGTTCCTGGTCATGCGCTCGCCCCACTCCGACGTCGGCTGCAGCAGCGATGAGGACGGCACGGTCAAGTCCAGCCTGGACCACGGCGACTTCCTGCACATCGCGGTGCAGATCGCGGCCGGCATGGAGTACCTGGCCGGACACTTCTTCGTCCACAAGGACCTGGCCGCGCGCAACATCCTGATCGGGGAGCAGCTGCACGTGAAGATCTCCGACCTGGGGCTCTCCAGGGAGATCTACTCGGCCGATTATTACAGGGTGCAGAACAAGTCCCTGCTGCCCATCCGCTGGATGCCCCCCGAGGCCATCATGTACGGCAAGTTCTCCTCCGACTCCGACATCTGGTCCTTCGGGGTGGTTTTGTGGGAAATATTCAGCTTCGGCCTTCAGCCCTATTACGGCTTCAGCAACCAGGAGGTGATCGAGATGATCCGGAAGCGCCAGCTGCTGCCGTGCTCCGAGGACTGTCCCCCCAGGATGTACAGCCTGATGACGGAGTGCTGGCACGACCTGCCCTCCCGCAGGCCGCGCTTCAAGGAGATCCACGCTCGCCTGCGCTCCTGGGAAGGCCTGTCCAGCCACACCAGCTCCACCACCCCCTCGGGCGGCAACGCCACCACCCAGACCACGTCCCTGAGCGCCAGCCCCGTCAGCAACCTCAGCAACCCTCGCTACCCCAACTACATGTTCCCGGCGCAGGGCATCCCCCAGGGCTTCATGGGGCCGCCCCTGGCTCAGAACCAGCGCTACATCCCCATCAACGGGTACCCCATCCCGCCGGGGTACGCCGCCTTCCCCGCGCCCCACTACCCCCCGCAGGGTCCCCCCAGGGTGATCCAGCACTGCCCCCCTCCCAAGAGCCGCTCCCCCAGCAGCGCCAGCGGCTCCACCAGCACCGGCCACGTCACCAGCTTGCCGTCGTCGGGCTCCAACCAGGAGGCCAACATTCCCTTGCTATCCCACATGGCCATTCCCAGCCACCCGGCGGGGATGGGGATGGCGGTGTTCGGCAATAAAACTCAAAAACCCTACAAAATTGACTCCAAGCAGTCTTCCCTGTTGGGGGACTCCAGCATCCACGGACCCAACGACTCCGTGATTTCGGCGGAATTGTAAATACGCGAGGCCTTTGTAAATAGAACTCTTTTTTTTTTTTGGAAGGGGTAGGAAAGAATATTTTTTTTTTATTATTTTTTTTTTACTATTCAAATATTTTATTAAAGATCCTTTTTTTTTCTGGTTGTTGGACAGACATTGCAGCAAAGTGTCTTCTGTGAAGTTTCACTGCTCTCCAGGATGGGCAGGCACAACCAGACGTGGTGGGAATCCTCGGCCTCGGCCACGCTTCTCCAAGTGCCACCGACAATTCAAAGAGGGGAAGAGGGATTTTGAGGGGTTTTGTCTTTTAAAAATAAAAACATTTTATCCAATGCTTTTTCACAGCTTTTTAAACCTCCGGCGTGGTTTAAATCACGGAAACTTTTTTTCTTTTTTTTAATACTGAAAACCATATTTTAATATTTGTCTCTTTTTTTAGGAGATGCAAAGATTCGGAGATCTGGGTGTGCAATTTCAGTGCCAACAGGGAAAATATTTGTAAATGTTGCAGTCGAGGATTGTGTTTCAAATATATGATCTGAGAGCTGAATCAGTTACTTCAGGTGAGATTTTGGTCTTTAGTTTAGTTGGGAGTCTGAGCTCAGATTCAGACCAAAAAATGTCATTTATGTGACAACACAAATGCTGGAGTTACCAGCTTGCAGTCTCCAAACCTCATCTGCTACTGGCTGCTAAGGACAGCTGAAGTTCTTAAGGAATTGCCTTAAAGGAAATGAAATTAAAGGGCTTTAATTTCAGAACCTGAATCGACTTCTTCAAAGATAACGTTTCATGATCTAGTCGCTCAAGCAGGAATTTTATATCCTTTTGTTGCTATGCAACTGTGCAATGGAAAAGCGCCAAACCACAATTTTATGTATGACAATCAGTTTTCCCAGGAATATTTATTGTGTCATTTCAGTGACTCTGACTCCAGTAACCCTGGAAAAAGGGAGGCTCGCATTTCCATCAGGCAGCAAATCCATCAATAGCGCTTGTGTCTAATAATGTGAATTAGTGCCGATTTTCCACTTAGAAATGCACCATTTGTGTCATTAAAAAAACCCATTCAGGTAGAACCAATCGAGAATCTTCATTTGAAACCACTTTAATGAGTTACACACGTGCTGTGTACGGTACATTTTCCACAGACTTTTTTTTTTTTGTACTGAATAATATTTTTATTGTCCACAAAAACAATCTTTTTTTTTTTGCTCAGTTGACAATGTTGTAAAATAGGACTTTATTTTTATCTTTTTTTGCACAAAAAGTGTGATGATGTTTTTTTGTACAGCAGAAGTGAAAATACATCTCTGCATTTTATATCTTGGGCTGTTTCTTTTGATTTTTACCCTGATGTAGATGTTCCTGAAATATATTATGGTGATACTCAGCCACTACCTTTATACAAATATCTTTCTTTGTTTTCACTGCATGCGTTTAATCACTGTATTACTTGATGATTGAGTTATTAATTACGGGCATTTCAATTAGGCAAGCATGAAAAAGAAAAAAAAAGAAAAAGAAATGTAATAGCAAAGGCTATTTTATAATTGAGATATTGTGCATTTTTGTATTTCACGTGCCAGAGATGATATTAAACACTGATTATTTTATGCCACTGTTTATTAAAATGTTGTTTTACCACGGACACATTGACATTTCCTCCATCCCAGAAGGAGGAAGGAGCTCTCTCCCCTGGCTCAGGAAAGCTGAGCTGGCATCCTTGGCTTTCATCAGGAATTAGGAATAACCTAATCCTTCAGGAGCAGCAGTGGGATCATAAAATAATCCCTCACACACTCGGTGGTTTTACTTTCAAACCACTCCCGGCTCAGCTTGAGGTTTCTCCTTTATTTCAAAGCCGGGTCCGTGAGGTTAAAGTATTTTTAGATAATATCCAGCTCGGAACAACACACCTGGAAAACCTTGGGAAGACCTTTCCCTGCCCTCCCTCCCTCTCAGCAGGGAAAATCTGGGAATTGTGGGGCTGAGATCACGGTCTGGCTCACACCTGATGCGCAGGGAGGTCACAGGGAGAGGCAGGAGCTCCTCGGGGAGAGATGAGAGGGAAAACCTCGAGAAGCTGATGAGGTAATGTGGAAAATAAGATGTTGCCAGAAATGAAGGAGTCTCTCCTCAGGTGGGAACGCAGGCATGGGATGAAAGCTGGTTTTGTGTTAAACAAAGGGAGAGGGAACATTCCAGATGCTAAATCATCATCCCTTCCTTCTTGGAGGACACAGCCAAGGCTGTTGGAAATGCAGCGCTCTTGGCTGGATTGAGCAGCTCTGGAGGATTGGGAATAAAACCCTGGATAAACGGTGTTTACTGAGCCTTCAGTCTGGACAGTCTCATCCCCTCCGGGCTGGTTGTGTTGCTGTGAAAGAAAATAAATATTTGCTGATTTAGAGCCCACTGAGGCAGAGCCTGAAACGGGGATTTGGACCCTTTGTTCCCACAGAGGAAGTGGCTGGGCTGGAATTGTGCGCTCTCCGGATTGAGAGGAAAAGCCCAGAGCTGCCTGTGCAGAAATGGGGGCTGGGAAGCTCAGAACTCAGCAGGATGTGTTTATTCAGGGATGCTCAGGAGGGAATCTGTGCTTTGCTTTTCAGGAGCAGGGATTTCCAGGAAGGCTGGGAAATCCTCAGCTCCGTTTCCTTGTCCCATGATTTGAGTTCACCGGGAGAGCCCAGCTCAAACCCCTCCTGTCAGGAGAGCACTCCAAGCACAAACTGCTGCTGGATCCAAGGCTCTGGAATGTCTGTTTACCTCCCACATCCATGGGCTCTCGTTCCTGCATGTTCATCAGGAGGAATTTGGCTTTTGGGCAGGATTCAGCCTCCTCGGGGTGTCTGAGCCGTGGCTTTTGCCTCCTGCAAATGGGGTTGAGCATCCAAAGGAGATGGTTTGGCTTGGGAGGGACCTTAAATTCCATCCCATTATCCCATCCCATTATCCCATTATCCCATTATCCCATCCCATCCATCCAATCCCATTATCCCATTATCCCATCCCATCCATCCCATCCCATCCCATCCCATCCCTCCCATCCCATTCCCACCTCCCACTGTCCCAGGCTGCTCCAGCCCCAATGTCCAGCCTGGCCTCAGACACTTCCAGGGATCCAGGGCAGCCACAGATCTCCGGGAAATCCATTCCAGGGCCTTCCCACCCTCCCAGGGAACAATTCCTTCCCAATACCCCGTTTGATTTGAGGGATTTGATGGTGCAGCCCAAGCTCCCCGTGGTTCTGGGGTGAGCACAGGGGTTACAAAGCAGAGCCCTGAGCCAGCAAAAAGAAACATTTGAACACAGTTGCTCTAAAGAACATTTTTGCACAATAAAGAAAGCCACAATCTTTCTACAAAACCACTAGGAAAAAAAAAAAAAATCGAATTTTCATTTGAATCTTGTGTGTTACAATATTTGAACCAGCGTTCCTTTATGAATTCCTGGTTCTGTGGTCAGGGGGTGGAAGGAGCAGCTGGTTCTGCTGCAGAACATCCATGGAAAAACCAGGAAAATTCCCTTTCCGTGGGCCTGGAGCCTCTCAAAGAGGTGACATCCGTGGAATCCAAGCAGCAGTTTTTATCTTGCTGTGGGAGGAGAGAGAATATTGCTCCTGAGCTGGTCACTGTCCAGCCCATCTTTTTGATCTCCCCCAGATTAAAGCTCAGCCCTTTGCAGGACACTTTATATTGCTGAGGTAATGGGAAATGATTAAAAACAGAGAGAGACACGATATTGGGGCTGCACATCAAAAGATCTTTATGACAAAGGAGGGAAAATTGACTCGAAACTGGAATTATTGGAAGCATCTGTGGTGTCCTTTATTTCCCATTTAACGTGTTTGGGAATGGTGGTGGGCCTTAATTTGCTGAGTTTCACCCTAAACCCTGAGGTTTATCTGCTCCTGCAGAGGGAACAGCAGCTCTTGGTAAAGGAATTTTGACCTTGAGACACAAAGGAAAATTCTGCAGTGCTGTAACCTTCGGCTGTGCAGAGAATTTGGGTTGTTTTTATGGAATTTAAAAGCAGAAATCTCTGTTTGGTTCATAGGGAACATGTGGGATTATAAAGCACGAGTGGTGCTGGGAGCAGGATCTGCACCTGTCGGAGCTGTGGGGGATATCTCTGTAAATCCAGTGGGTTTGTTGGGAAATTCCAGAGTTTCTCAACAATCCAATAACATTTTGGAGCAGCAATGATAACGATTCCCAGTCCCCCTCCATGAGGGATGGGTCCATCCCGAGCTGTGGAAGGCAGAGGGGTCCCTATGGAAGGAGCAGCTCTGGAATGATGGGATTTGGATTCCCAGGATCAGCCCCCAGGTGGTTGGAGCCATTGGGGAACAGACAAAACATCCCAGCCATGGAAAAACAGCCTTTCCTGGGAGCTCAGCTGCCTTTGATCACAAATCCCTGCACCTGGGATGGGGCAAGCCCAGCACAAAGGGGTGGAGGAGCCCTGGGAGAAGGGTGTGGGGTGGTGCTGGCCAAGGTCCACCTGCCCCATCCCTCTGTGCTGGGATCCAGAACCTCCTGGGCAGCAGGAGAGGGGGAATTCTGCACCTGCTGAGCTGCCCCAGCCCTGGGGAGGATGTGGAGCTGCTGGAGAGATTCCAGAGGAGCCCCTGGAGCTGCTCCAGGGCTGGAGCCCCTCTGGAGCCAGGCTGGTCACCTGGAGAGGAGAAGCTCCAGGGAGAGCTCAGAGCCCCTTGCAGGGCCTGAAGGGGCTCCAGGAGAGCTGGAGAGGGACTGGGGACAAGGCCTGCAGGGACAGGACACAGGGAATGGCTTCAGTGCTGAATTCCAGGTTCCTGCTGGAATGACCATCCCACAAATTCATATCTAAACCTTTGCTGCTCCATCTCTGCTCTCAATCTGCTTTTCCATACGTTTGGGAAATACCTGTGCCAGGGCACTGGGGATGTTGCTGGGCAAGGAAATGGAACCAGTGGATTTTTAATGGGACTCCACACATCGATGCTGCCCCTGGGAAAGGGCTCATTCCCTCCTCTCCCAGATCCCTGGGAGCTGGATCACCCCAGGAACTCCCCAGAGGATTTTGGGCTGCTCAGAGAGCAGGAAAAGCCCCGTGGGATGCTGAGTGTGTGGAGCCACCCTGATCCCAGCTGGAAAACTCCGTGTGTGTGTCCTGTGTGCCAGAGTTTGAGGGCTCAAATCCAGGGAAACCAAATTGGCACTGCAGGATAAATAAAAAATGGTCTGGACACTAAATTATGGTACAGCAGGAATCAGTGGTGGAAATGGAATAATTATTTCAAAATAGATTCACAAAAGTCATAACCTGAAAGAGGGATATTTCCCCCAAATTGGTATAAAACGGATGAGATATTGGATAAAAGTTAATTTTGTGTTGGACAAAGTTATCTAAACTTTAACTTTTTCACCCAGTGATTTAAGAAAACTCTCTAATCTACACACTCACACTTTTAGCTTTTCTAACTTTAACATTTGTTCCCATGTATCACCATGAAAACATGCTCAGGAATTTCATGTTAAATGAATTTCAGAGGTTTTCTGGGTGTTAGAACTGAATATCAGAAACAAGGGCACACACTCTGTGTCCCAGACTGCAACACCCTTTGCAGGCAGGAATGATTCCCGATCCCTCCTGCAGTGCCAGGAGAGCAGATGATGACAGGAATGGCCAGGACTCAATCCCAGATCCACCAGGGATCCTTTGATCCTCGGGATTTCCACTCCATTATCAGCTGCTCAGGCCCCAGCAGCTCTCTGCACTCCAAAAAGGCAGCTGATAATTTCATTTTTAGGTTTTCTGGCCTCTCCTATGGTCAGTGCTGCTCAGGAGTGTGAGGATGAGTTTTAGGATGGCTGATAAAGTGATTTATTTTACCACGTGGCTCTCTGTTATTTACAGTCCTCTGCCTTTGGGGGTTTTTAGGACAAATTAATCCAGATTTTTTTTTTTCTTTTTTTGACCTTTCTTTCTGTCCTCATTCCCAATGCTCTCCCCTCCAGAAATCCAGATTTTTCCACACAACTTTGTTTTAATGAAGAGTGAAACAAATTGTGGGGTCGTGTGTCAGTGCTGGCTCTTTCCTGGGAATTCCAATGGAATGAGAGGGAAAGGAAAGGAGTGAGATGAAGAGATTTCTGTGATTATTGTGGGCAGGGAGCAGCCAGTGCAGCCCATTAGGGCTGTGTAATTGCGCTAATTAAGAATGAAATCAGGGCTTTGAGGGTTTGTAGAGCTTTGGGTGTTCTGGTTTCTTTAGGAGATGATTTCAAATGCTTTGGCAGAAAATTGAGCAAAAATAAAGCAGAAAGGGGAGGAAAAACAACATATTTATTATTATATTATTATTATATATTATTATTTTATATAATATATAACATACAAAACAGATTATATAATAAATATATTATTATATATTATTATATATTATATATTATATATTAATACATTATATTAATCAATATATTATTAAAATATAAATGTATATTTTATACAATATAATAAAATATATATTTTATAGTAATAAAATATATTTATATTAATATGATATAATATAAAATATAATATAATCTCTTATATTAGTAATACATATTGTATATTCTATATTTTATAAAATATAAATTATTATTATGTTATACTAAATTATATATTATAATATTATTATTAATATTATGTTAATATATTAAATTATATATATTATTGAATTTTATAATTAGATATTATAATTTTATTTATACTTATATTTATAATAATTATATCATTATTAGTTATTCATTAATATAATAGTTATTATATAATTACTATTAATTTTATAATTATATTTATTATATATAAGATATAATTATATATTATTATATTATATATTAATATGACATTATCTATTGTATTATATATTATTCAGGGAAATAGTAATACATTATTATTTATTTTATTATATACTATATATTATATATTATATAATATTTTATTATAAAAATATATAATTTTAAAATTTTTATTATTATTACTAATTTTATTAAATAGTTTTGCAGTGTGTTTGCAAGAGGCTGCACCCAGAAGGTAACAGCATCTCTTTTAAAAATCATAATGCATTAATAAATATGAAGATTTTAAAATTATTTGAAATACTTTAAAGGAACAAAATCAACATTATTCATAAATCCAAGCTGTGAAGAATTTTTCAGACTTCCCAAATCGTTCTAAAACCTGTAAATTTGAATGCTGAATTAATTGAAATGAGCAAGAAATCGAGTTTGGAAAGCAAAGGTCGTAGTGGGGAATCAGCCCCGGTGTCCTGGAGGTTGGAGCTGAGGATTTGGGAAGTGCTGGGATTTTTTCCCTTCCACCCCAGCTGGATTCACCCAATCCCAGCACAAATCCAAAAAACACCAGCTGGATTTCAAGGGAATGAAGAGAAAACAAAATTTTCCATTCAAAACTCTTCATCCAAAATTTTTCTCCTGCTCAGGCATTTCTGAGGAATGGAGGAAAAATCCCTTTATTTTCCCAAATTTCCCTAAAATTCCCCCACCTGTCCCTGCCATTCCCTCCTGGCCAGCCCTGAAGGAAGGACCCGGTGGGGAATTCTCCTCCCTGCGGTTCCCAGCACTGAATCCTCTTCTCCAGGATTTTTCCAGGATCCCTGGAGGATCCCAAGGTTTCTGTGTTACCGGGATCTGCCAGGAGGGAGCTCCTGGAGGGAATCTTTGGGTTTGCTCAGAGGGTGACAACAGCAGGAGGGAGGGAGCAGGGATGGATCCCAGCTTTTTATTCCAGTGGCACAAAATGTCCCGAGTCTGGTGATGCTGTGAGGGTGGGGAGGCCTTGGAATGGTTTTCCCAAAAATTCTGGGGCTGCTCCTGGATCCCTGGCAGTGCCCAGGCCTGGATGGGT